TGCTCTTGTAAAAAGCAAGATGAAATCAACAAGCAACCCAGCAAAGGAAGCCAGCCAGAGTCTGTTCTGCTCCCTTTCTGTAGGATGAGGGGGGGAGTGTAGAGTTTTTAGATGAAGCTACGGATTTAGGGAATGTTTGGCCTTCCCTGCATTTCCCACACGCATCTTCTTCTAGCTCTGGGAACTCGGCAGCAGCACTCCCAGGGTGGCAGTGTTGATTTTGCTGCCGAGGGCTCAGCATTAATCTTGTGCCGAGTATTTTAATCTCCCATCTTGTTGACTCACTCTTTCCCCATGTGAGCACTATAGAAGGAGAGGTTCTCATTTATTATGCAATGCTCAGCTCAGTAGCCGGCATGAGAATGGTACCTCTTGTAGCTAACAAGGCTGTCTGCTGTGTATTCACTGGGAACCGTATTCGGTCGGCTGAGTGCAATTGAGCTTTGGTCTCAGTTAAGTCCTGCTGAGTGCAGCCACTTGGCCTTCTTGTCACTCTCCCCATGCCCATGTGGTGCAGCCCCTGCCTGCTCCAGTCCTGCCTTCCCAGTTGCTTCAGAGAGGCCCAGTGAACTGCCCCCGTGTTCTAAAGCCCTCCAATTGCTTTACTTCTAATGCTCTTTTCAGTATGTGGGTAACACCTGGATTTGTGCTTCAAGGACATTGTCAACATTTTGTAAAATAAGTCGAAGATGTAGTGGAGACAGCATGGTGTTCTGTGGATTAAGGGTAAGCCTTTGGAGACTGTGGCCCCAGCCACTTTCTAGCTGCTCGTCCTTGGGTGTATTGCCTAAGCTCCTGAAGCTTGTTTCTTTACCTGCCCCATGGATTTTATAAGAGTACCCATTTCATAAGGCGGTGATGAGAACTGAAAGAGATAGCATATAAAAACACTAAGCCTATAGCAAGTCTCAAGTGATGCTATCTATTGTTGTTGTCTTTTCCTTTAACAACATCTAGTTCAAGCACTGCCCTTAAATGTCCTAAATTCAGGGCATTCAAATTTTTCCAACATAGCAAGTCTCAAGTGATGCTATCTATTGTTGTTGTCTTTTCCTTTAGCAACATCTAGTTCAAGCACTGCCCTTAAATGTCCTAAATTCAGGGCATTCAAATTTTTCCAAGTGTAGCTCAATGATTCCATTAGACTGTATCTTCCACCAGGTAAGGGTGTGTTGTTCTCAGTCATGTCCTTAGCACCGGGCCCAGCGCCTGGCTCACAGGTTCCCAATAATGTTTGCTGAATGAACAAACGAATAACCAGAAACCCAGAGGATGAATGCCTCATGGATTTTGTGCTGGAGACAAGGATGAATCTAGAAGGATTTTACCTGGCCCCAAGTAGTGGACAGGACTCAAAGGAGAGCCAAGGACCTAGTGAGGCTGGGTCCATACCTGTGGTCTCTTTGTCCCAAAGTCTGCATGATGCTCCAGTTCCTTGAAGTTCTTTTAGTGGAATGTAAAAGGATCAGTTTCATTGACATGCAGCTTCAATGACAAGGTGGGCTCCATAGGGCAGGGACTGCATCAGTTCTGGTCACTGTTTTATTCCCTGTGCCTAGCATGGCGCCTGGCATTCAATAAAGACTTGTCAAAGGAGTGATTGATGTGCTGGGAGTGGCAGGCAGGTGATGGGCCCTCTGGTCTAGTTTGGGGTGGGAAAAGGGCCATATTTGGCCCCATGCTGGGCATCTTTGCTCTAATGGACTGCAGGGAGCAGGTCTAAATGAGAAGTTCTTAGATGTTCCAACTGCAGTATTGCAGTGTCTGCTTGAAATTAACAGTGGGCACCTCAGAGTATCCATGTGGGCTGTTCCTCTACCTGAGTCATCACCCCCCCCCAGATATCTACGTGGCTCCCCCCTCCTTCCCTCCTTCCTGCAGGTCTTACTCAAACCTCAAACAAGGCCCACGTGACTTGAACCTTTAAGTGTGCTCTAGACATCTTCCAGTGGCCGGATCTGCATCTGTGTCCAAGGGCTCTCCACACCACCCACAAAGTGCTAAGGCATGGAGCCTTAGCCTAGGCGCAACCCACCAGCAATGACTGTTGGAGTATTTATACCCCAACTCCTTCCAGCAATGGGTGGGATGAAACTAATCAGTTTCCCAGAGTTTCTTCCAGTTTTCCTGTAGGATTGAGCTTCATTTGTCTCCTGTGGGAATTGACCTAATAATGTACCCTTTATGGGCCACCTTCCCTCTCCTATATCACTTCTCCCTTCCTTACTGGTGTTTTCTGTACCTCTGAACCACGCTGCTTTCACTCAAGTCCTTGATTGGGGGTCTGTTTCTGGGAGAACTCAAGCTAAGACATCTACTTTTTAGTAAGGCTTTCCTTGTACCCACCCCCCCACTCCCTGTCTCTTCCCTGCTTTGTCTTTCTCCATGGCATGCATCTGACCTACCCCATGTTTTATTTGTCTCTCTTGCTTCCTGTCCGTCTCCCCCAACTAACATGTAAGCTCTGTGGGGGCAGATCCAGACTGTTGTCTGTTGTGATTATAGCTGTCCTGTGTTATCGCTGGAACTCAGAACAGTGCTTGACACATAGCAGGTTCTAATAGTGATCTGTTGGTTGAATTAATGAATCTGCAGCTGTAGAATAATCCATGAACCCTATCAGTTGGAATAATGTCACCTCTTGGTAATTTCTGATTGAGCTGTTATGCTGTGGAAATGCATAAAAAATGACTTTTGAAAAGCACCTAGCTGTTCATACTTCAAAGGTTATTAGAATAATCCATGAACCCTATCAGTTGGAATAATGTCACCTCTCGGTAATTTCTGATTGAGCTGTTATGGTGTGGAAATGCATAAAAAATGACTTTTGAAAAGCACCTAGCTGTTCATACTTCAAAGGTTATCCTTCCTTGTTCCCCTGGGTTGTATAGCCTTTACCTTCCATTGGATTTGCTTTCCTGGAGTCTGGGCACAGGACAAGCATCAGGTCTGGGGCCTGTGTCTCCCAGCCTAGCACAAGGCTGCTTCACATCTGCGCTTGTGCGTGATTTCCAGAAGCCCTCTGGGCACTCTGCTGTGCTGAGCAAGGGAAAGCACTTAATTAAGACTTACATTCCTGCATCCTCCCAGGCTGTGTGTATGGGGGTAAGGTGTGAGGCTGCAGCTGCCACCCCGTAGAGCCAGCAGTGACCCCTTTGATCTCTGCCTGGCCTGGTCAGCATGGTTTGGGAGCGACACCTTTGGCTCAGGACCCTGTAAGGACTTGGAGAGTGACTGTCTTACCTCTATTTCTCTGCAGGGGAAGGTCTTGGGAATATGTGGGAATGTTGGAAGTGGAAAGAGCTCCCTCATTGCAGCTCTCCTAGGACAGGTAAGCTAAGTGGTGAGTGCCATGAAGATGGAACAGTAACATCACAATGAAACGGCTCCCTCCCACCGTGTTTGGGGCCCTGCTAGAACACTGGACCCAGCAGATGGGCTTGGCTGCTCTGGGCACCACGCACATAGTTCATGGTGATTTCTGGGAGGTTAATGCACTTAGCAGCTCCAGGACCCTTGGCCAGACCACAGCTGAGCTTTTCACATTCTCTCAGGTTTGCGCACGGAGGGTGTGTGTTGAACGGTGACTGCTTCCTTGCCTAGAGTTCCGTCTCAGTCAAAGGAAGAGGCAGGTCATTAAATCCATGGTTTTCCCCATGACATGGCCTGTTGTGATTTAGAAAAGCCAGCAAGGCAGCTTGGTAGGGAAGGACATAGAAGTCTGGGACTTACAGTGACTTTAGATGTATTTTTCCTTCATTCATCTCCATATCCCCAGTATCTACCCCAGTGTCTGCCCAGAGCAGATGCTCAACCAAGCCTGCCTCAGTGAAGGAATGGCTGAATGAATGCATGAACTAAAGCAACAATGTGCTTCCAACTTCTCCGCAAACCTGTTGCAGGAAGGTGGGGGAGGCTGGGTTCTTTTCCCTTCTCTGCTACTTCTAGCTATGTGACCCCAGGGGAAGCAGCCAAGCCATTGCCTGTATTCACAGGCCTCTATGTTGCCATGGCTTCTAAGTTGCATTCCAAATGAATGAGAAGTTTTCTGGAAAGAAATATTAAGTCTTCTTTCTTCCCATTCTGCTGTTTCTAAAGAGAAGGCTGGGCAGCTGGGATTGCCTTTAGCAGGAAGAGGTTGGAGTGCCTCTGGAGAAACAAAGGCACCAGGCTCAGAAAGGTCCCCCCAGAACAGGGTAGGGGGATGTGTCTTATAAGCTCCAATGTGAGTGACTTCATTAGGCCTCACTTGACTCCTCTGTAGAGAGTGACAACTTCTTCCCTGCTTGGAGGCAAAGGTGGGGGCTGAATCGGGCGAGCTCCTGAGGTTACCCAGGATCTGGGATTCAGTTCGTGTGCCTCTGAGATGATCCTGGAGCTGGCAGGCATGTTAGAAGTGACCCAGCCCAATTCTCCACTGAATAATGTGAACCTTCTCTACGTCATCCCATATGAGAGATGACCCAGCCTCTGCTCAGGTGTCTCCAGTGATGGAGAACTTATTATTTCACAGCCAGTTCCCTCTTTAGAGAATTTTTACATATTTTGGAGTAAAATTTGCCTCCTTTTTAATTTCTATCCTTTGACCCCTTCTTTCAGAACTTTTCAGAGAAAATAGAATCTATCTCCCATGCAACAGTGGTGGGATCAGGTCCCTCACTGCGGTCACTGTGGAGGCAGATAGCACGCCAGACTGCCTGAGTTCACCACCTGTCTCAGCCATGTGCTTACGGTTTAACCTTGGACAAGTAGCTTAACCTTTCTGAGCCTTGGTTTTCTCATCTGTAAAATGGGACTAAGGACAGTTGTGGTGAGGATTAAATGAGATAATGTGTGTAATAGTTGGTTATAGACTAATTCCCAAGGTCAGTCATGGTGATAAGCATCTTATACAGGCTTAAAACAGTGCATAGAATGTACCCTACACATTCTAGCTACTGCTATTATTACTGTTATTGTTATTATCATTGTCTCTTCTCCACATCTAATTCTCTGTCCCTTGGGCCATTCCTGAGGTGAAATGACATCACATCCTTGGACCACCTTTGCTACACCTCCTCCCTGCCCCCAGACACACCCCATAAGCATCAGCCCTGACGCTCCCCTGTCTCAATAGCTTTGAACATTGCATCAGCGCTAACACCTGCCATTATCAGATGCCCACCATATGGGGTCATCTTAAATGAACTCTTGCACTCAGGGTCACAAACTAAAGTCCATGCATGTTTTTAATTGGATTGCTCAATATTTTTAAAAAGTCCAGAAGTTCCATGTGAAACTGAATTTTCCACTTCTCATGAAAAATTAGAAAATCTGGCCATACCAGACCTGCATCCTGCAACTGAGTCAAGGCTCTCTCCTTAAGACAGGGTCTGCCAAGGGAACCCTTTATAGCGGTGCAGGCTGTGCCCTGCTCCTGGGGCCTGGGTGGGGTGGGTGGCATCCAGCCTGTGCACCTGGAGGAAGTCAGCCTCTTGTGACATGTTTGCTCAGAGGGCATCTTATTGTAGTTGGCACAGGAGTGCTATGCCTGCTAGAGCCGTCCTGCAGCCCAGGCTCTCCAGCTTGCAGCAGGACACTCCACTGCCTCTTTTCTAACATTTCCCGTCTGGCCTCTTCCAGGTTGTGGACTTAGAGACCCTCCATCTGCACAGCTGGGCTTTGCAAGTGTGTGGACAAGATGACTTGCCGACCCTCTTACACCTTCATAAACAATGCTCATGGAGCAAGCGGGTGGCGGGGTACAGTGGACATTCGAGGAAAAGTCCTCAAGGTCTGGCATCTGAAGGTTTTCTGGTATTGTTGCTCCAGATGCAGTTACAGAAAGGGATTGTGGCAGTCCATGGAACTTTGGCCTACGTTTCACAGCAAGCCTGGATCTTTCATGGAAGTGTGAGAGAAAACATATTATTTGGAGAAAAGTATGATCACCAAAGGTAATATTAACTTTCAAAGCATGCAGCACTTTAGTAGTTGGTACACTCCGCTACAGATGCTGGTGCCATTGGTAATGATTGCTAAGTGGGTTTCTTTAATGAGCTCTGATTAAACATCCTTCAGATCCACTGGGCATCGGTTTTTCTCTTCCTGACCAAAGAGTTCAGGAGAGGCACCTTCTGCAGACCTGCAACTGCACACTGAGAAGAGCGTAGAGTCGACACTTTATTCCCAGGGCAGAGAAGTGGTTTTTCTCTTCCTGACCGAAGAGTTCAGCAGAGGCACCTTCTGTAGACCTGCAACTGCACACTGAGAAGAGCGTAGAGTCGACACTTTATTCCCAGGGCAGAGAAGCATATGTTCTGGGGTTTTCTGTAACAGGGCATATGTTGTCTGACTGGAGAAAAATGAATCTGGCAATTTTGCTTTAGGATGAGTAACCAAAACTTTGCTTGAAATCGTGAGTAGCAAGTATGCAATTAATCAGCTCTGACATTATTAATGGACATCAGAGCCTTCAGCATTATTGCTGTTAGTGTCCTCAAAATGATCTAATAAAATAAAAGCAAGGTTCCAGC